TTACTCCTGGCTGCCCTTTAACGTCCTGACCCGTTTTTCTTCGAACCCAAGTATTTCCCGACCAAACAGAGTCGGAAGAAACCTGGAGGTAGAGGAGTGTCTGAGCAAACGTGTCATGACAGCACAGTTTAAAAAAAAACAATAAGCGTAGTGTCCTTTGGATTCATTGCAATCTCGACTGCTTTTTCCTCCGTGAAATAGGTTCGCTGACCATTTTCTAGATGAAAAGCCAATTGCACAATAGCAGGATGCCTTTGATGAAGTGGAAAAACGAAAATTCGCCAAAAATCACGTCGGAATTACTTCCAGCGCAGCAATACTGTCAAAAACGACCTTATCGCTCGGATATTTAGGCAGAAAGTCATTAAGCTCATGGATTTGATTACAAAACGACCTTCCAAGAACTGAATACCTCATCGCGACTGTTGGCGTTTTGGAATGTGAACATGGTTGCGTCTGAACCTTTATTGACGTACTTACAAATGTACCTTATAAACTGAACAGAATTCAAAATTCATTTATATTCGCGTTAAAAGTTTTCAAAATGAGGGGGCAGTACGGCACAATCCACCGATTGTCTACGCTATGCCCTTAATGTCAAGCCCCGCCATTTTCAGTTTCGCGCCGGCGGTACCGGGGATAACCGTCTCCTGCGATTAAGGTCTCGTCAGTAAATTTTTAGGAAAATTTTTAGTACATGTATTATTTCTATGGCAAAAGAGAAGGTTTCGAACCCAGGTCCACATGGTTCATGAAACATCTTGCCCTATACGATTTCGTACAATTGTGGATCGAGAACGGGATCCGGGATTTCAGTCAGAAATTATATCGTCCACTGTAGTTGGATTAATTCTGTTTGTAAGCCATATAAGGATATCGGCATGGGGAAGACCCTTTTTCTCCCACTCGATGGTGCACATGTCGCACCTAACAGGACCATATAGTTGGCCTTTTGTAATCAAATCCACGAGCTTAATGACTTTCTGCCTAAATATCCGAGCGATAAGGTCGTGATGGTGACAGTATTGCTGCCCTGGAAGTAATCCAGACGTAATTTCGACCCACTTAGGGTTGCAGGTAAACGTGATAAAGAGGTATGGACGACCGTAATGGCGTACGTAAGTCATAGCATTTTGGGTACGCACGTGCATATATCGTGGACCCCCTGAGGGCAAAATGCAAGCCTTCCCCAGGTTGCGGAGGTTTACCTCATTCCTAATCCCATCTTGCAGGTGGATATAGCTGTCACACCTAAGCTTTTTCTGGTTCAGTTTAATGAGGCCCAGTCTCTCTGACTCCATTTTCGCAGCCATGTCAACTGAAAATTGTTGAAAAAGATCCTGAGCCCTGTGCAATGGATTAATGGAGCCAACTCTTCTCATAAAGTGGTATGAGTAGAATGACATACAGGACACCGTTTTCGTGGTTACCGATGAGGTGGTACCAGGCCCGTACTGAGGAATCCCAACATGATACCCATCGTCTCCATATGGGAAAAGAAGCGGGTACTGGAGTGCGTCGTATGAGCGGTGGGTTTCACTTATGCGTTGTAATTGGCTGTTCCGACAGTGAAGACCAATATCTCGAGGTTTATGTTGATCACCATGGAGTAGCACGTCAACCTCATTGCATGACGGAGCATTGTAACAGCGTAAGTGTTCATCCGAAGGCCTCTTATCTGCATCGATAATATGGAAATATCGGGGCTAGATGAGGTTTCTAAAGTGTACTTAAAGCTCGAACGTAGCTATTGCATTCATGGAGCATATTCTGCAAAGCAAGCAAAAGATCTTTGTCAACGGTATTCGCAGGATTGCTTCCGCAGGAGGAAAAAAATGCCGCACCAGCTGATTGTAATCAGAAATGAAGTAGATATTTAGGAATGAATGCAACTGTTCGTTTTGAGGTAGTAGCGAGTCAATCAAGTGGTACACCTGGTCTTGTACCTTAAAAGTGGACATCCACCCAGCCTCTTTAACTACATCAGCCCCGAACGAAGTCATTTGTAAAGCTACGTATATTTTTAGAAAAGGACTTCAAGCGGCATTCGTACCCATAAGTAACTCTTTTTAGGGAATAGGCGGCTCCCTAATTGGGGGCAAATGGATTTTGTCAATGAACAGCTAAACCCAGGCGTTTATCCAGGCCATTTTAGGGCGCTACAGTGCCGACAGGCCTGGTTCATAGAACCAATTAGTATATCTAATCGGGAGTTGTAACTAACAGTAAAATCGTACTGAAAAGCTCGACGTAGCCAAAATGATTTACAAAGGCAGGTGATATCCCGGTGAGCACCTCTGCGTTCATTGTTACCTTCAAGACTAAGGATCCGTTTATGTGGTGTTTCTGACGCCTTTGACGCGGCCATAACTGTTGCGTTACGTGAATTCCGCACCCTGCGCTCATCCACACATTCAGCGGCCCTAGATACGGCCATAACTGTTGCATTACGTGAATTCCGCGCCCTGCGCTCATCCACACTCTCACTGGCTCTCAAAGCCCTCTGTTGTCGTGACCTAGTGCTCAGCCGACGCAATGGGATTCTCTTTTTGGTGGCATTATGAAAAAAAGAAAAAAAAGGAACGAACTCACGTATTAACAACAGTAAAAGGTATAGCAGTGTCAGGTTTAGGGATGTGCCCACTACGGGGTCTGCCAACTCGTGAAGTTTTAGTAGTGTAGAAAAAGATAACACAAAGGAAAATCGTATTTGAGTTCGACAAATGTTGGTATGAACAGAGTACCGTCTAGCGAACAATCGTAGTTGTGAGTTTGAAGGAACCAAATCAACGTTGATCCGTTTGTTTTCGTTGCTCGTAGTTTTAAATGTATTGTTCGTAATTGTTTGTAATTAAAGTTCGTCTGAACGTAATTGAATAAGAATGTAAAATTTTACAAGTTGATGAGTGAGATGTTTGGTTGAAATTGTAGCTTGATTTTCAGTGAAGTTATTTCATGTTAAAGAACGTTAGGTTCCAACTTGGTACTTCGCTGCAGTAATGATTCAAGCGTCGTGAAGTCGATTAGCGAATTTGGTCGTCGTAAATTCTCACTGACAGGGTCCGCTCGTACCTTCAACTTATATGTTCCTTCAACCACGTGACAGGCTCCGAAGGCATTGTTTTTTCGTCAGGTCAAAAACTAGGTTGACGTTGTTCGGACGTAGTGGTGAGCAGGTAAATTGTTTTTTTAACACCTGTTAACCACTCAGAAAGCGCCTTACAAAACTCAGTCTGGAGCCTGATATGTTTTGTCTCGCTTATTGAGAACAATACACGTAAAGATAAATTTATTATCCAATGAGGAGTTTAGGTTTTCAGAAACATTCATGAAGATGTGATCCGCTCTTTGCACGAAAATCGACATTTGTGAAAAAGTGGTAGCGGACAGCTAAAAGTTTAAGGAAGCGTATGAGCCAATTGGAGTAAAGTGTCATGCAGATTTAAATTTTTCCCACTTGTGACGAATGCAGTTATCGAATGCTAGTTAACATTCGTGTCAGTCAGCTGTTTGCTCTCGTGCTGGCCAATAGAATCTTCCTGCTCTCACTCTGGCCAGTAGAAAATGGCTGCAAACTACATGAAAACTGCCGTAGAAGCATGAAAAAAATCGATTATTTCCACTATCGATGGGAGTTGGGAAATGCAAAGTCGGTCTTGGCCTTCCCGCTAACTTGGAGCATGTGCATGTAAATTTTGATGCAAATCCGTCGAAAATTGCGGCCGTGCATTCGTTACACAGACACACACACACACACACACACACACACACACACACATCCTGCCTTTTAGAGATAGAGATAGAGCGCGAATGTATATATCTGTTATCAATGTTATTAATTGCACTTATTCTTTTTTTTCTTTATTCAAAACCATGCTGTTGTGTGTTTTTGACGAGTATAATTTCTTGGAAATCAACAATGAACTGTTTAGTTTCCATAATAAAAAAATGTATATAGTAACGATTACACTTTTGTTGGAATAGAAACTTAATCAAATACAAGTTACTTTTCAAAATAATCACTTTATTTGCTTGTTTATTCGCTCAGTTTACTGTTGAGTGGATATTTTAGTGAAAATTTCAGATCAAATTTAAAATTAGTTCGGTTAACGACGGGTTAAGCTTCGGATTTGCTGACTGACCATCATGTGCACATGCACACACACGCATGCGCAGTTCTACGCAAACGTTAAAAACACAAAGCTCAAACTGAAATCTATTTTTTTTAAATTTCTGTATGTAATCAAATTATTTTGAAGGGGACGGTAGGCACCAGTTGTTAGTGTAATAAATTTTTCATAATCAAATATCTTTTACACATTTTGTATAACATTTATTTGCACACACGTAGACATTTCAATTAATTCAATTCAATATGTGCATTCAGTGTAACTGTATTTGCTTGTTATGTCCTACAATTCTACAACGCTACCATCTTTTTTAAACATGCAAAAAAAGACAGTATTTTTACATATAAGTATTTTTTCTAAAAATGAAATTCCTTGTATGACACAGTTTACGAAAATATTCAAAATACCATACAATTTGGGAGCTGCAGATTCTTGCGTGTGAATGGCAAAATACAATACATACAAGTTGTGTGTAACAAAACATGCCATTCCTTACTTTGTGAAATATTTGTTAATTTAAATTCTTTACTTCAAGCCAAGATAAAAAGTTGAAAAGAAATTTTTTTTAAAAATGGAATCAAGTAGTAAAAAAAAAAATATGTAGCAATTCAGCAACGACTTAATTTTAGACGATTTCAGACGCTCGTTGGTTAACCAATCAAAGCATCGCAATTGCAATGACGTCGACGCTGATTGGCTAATTTGGAAAAATCGAACGCAGCAGACGACAACGACGAAACGTTTGCTTTTTTTTTGCGCGTCGTTCGTTTTCCTCCAGTTTCCATTTTGTTGGCTCCGAATTTTATTACCGAAAGAAAATAAATTTGAAAAGAGCCAATATATTCGCCAGTTGTTCTTACAGTTTCCATTATGGTAAGAGAAAAAAATATATCTTTTTTTTTTATTATTCGATTTTACTTTTTTTAAAAAGTTGAGTTAATTTTTAAGTGAAGATGAAAATTGAAAATTAAACTTGACACTGACACCATTTTATTTTTAAAATATTTTTTTACCAGTTTAAAAAATAAATGATGAAATAAATTGCGAGAGCAACATTTTTATTTGGAAAAAAATATCGTTTTTTTATGAAAAATATATTGCGACTTGTTTTTGTTTTTCCTTGAAAGATTTTTTTTAAATTTCTTTGTATTGCGAAATATTATTTTAAAATTTAATGTTAAAATTTGTCCTTTTTTTTAAATCTTTTAGTTTTTAATTCATGTTTCTAAAACTGATTGGCTTTCTTTAACCTTAAACAAAAAAAAAGACGTTCGCATTTTTAGCCATCATATTGCGACATTTACTTGAAAGTTTTTAGAGAGTTCAATGAATTTTATTAATGTCGAGTAAAAACTTAAAATAAAAGTAAATGAAAAAAAATCTTGCATTAATAAATTCCACTTTACAGGACGTTTTAAGTGTTGCATTTGCGAATTAGATTGTCGTAAGTTGTACTGAAGATAAGCAAATCTCAGCACAAAAAAAAATATATTTCTTGTTCCCCGCGTCTTCCATTCAAATCATTTTTGTTAAAATAAAAGTCCTATTTACTTGCAATATGGTTTTTAAATTGATCTTTTTTATCAATATTTTGTCAGAAAATTAACTAAATTTTATTTGAATTCGAAAATTTAAAAAATAGAAATTAAATCAGCATCGTCCATTTTAGAAAAAAGATTTTTCATGTTTTTTTGTTATTTTTTTACAGCACTTTTTTTTTTTTTTACAGCACATTTTAAAATGGTCTGATAAAAAAAAATGAATTTGAAGCTGAAAATAAATTTCCTCTGTTGTTTTGTTATTGATAAACTTATTAAAAAACGGTCAGATATCAATCATCAACTGCCCCATTTCTCATTTTAAGCCTGGGCCGTGTAGTGTTTTTAGCCACGTGACGAAATTATCTTTAAAAGTTTTTTGAGAAAAGTGAATATTAATCTTAATGCTGTCAAATCAGACAGGAAAAAATGTATTTGCAATGTGATGGAATCATTAATAAATCGTCGTTTTGCTTGATTATTAAATCATAAATGATTTTTAAATGTATGAAAACTACCATGAAAAATGAGAAAAGTAAAGATGGGCTTGCCTTGGTCCCTTTGGTGAGAGAGGTGTCTGCAATATGTAGGGTGCGGCAGAAATACTTTCCACATAATAGTAAAGCATTAGGTAGATGAAGACACCATTGTCACTAATAGTCTTACCATTCATAGGTTTTTTCTGCCACACCCTGTATAAATACATTTAAATTTTGACTTTTATATAGAAAATAGTGCTAATATAAGAATGAATGTAGATATAGTTAGTCACCATGCAGTCTTGATTCCTATCACTTTCATGCTGTAAGCGATCTTTCTTATCTTAAGACCACGTGTCAGTACTCGTGTCACAGGCTCTCTTTGTAGTGTGTGTCTGGCATTGGTAGATTATGGAAAAGAGGAAACTAACCCTAACCAAATTAACTGGGAAGAGGATAGTTTCTTCCTTCCTTTTAGTGGCACATATGTATATAAATTTCACCCCAAGCATAGCAATAATGCCACTAAGATGCAAAGAGGTTACCAGGAGTGAAAGAGAAACTTTATTCAGGAGAAAAGACAATAAAAGAACAGAATCCAGCAAGGTAAATGATGGCATTTGGCATTACATTTAAATTTTTGAAGATTGTAAGTGACAGGGATGCAAAGAACCAGAAAAGAGTTTCACTAACAAGAAAATCTAATAGACTGTTGCATCTAGTTAGTTCAGCAGTAAAACCATGAGATCTAATTGCAAATCTAGTAGCACACTTAAATTCATGCAATTAAAGCATCCAGGAGAATTGTCAGAAAAGATAGAGGGAAGCCATGTCAGATTATGTTGGTGAGAGACTGATTGAAGTAGAGATACTAGGTTCGGACTGATTACATTACAGATCATTTTTTTGGATTTTGTTAAGAATCTCAAGAGATATACTAGGAGCACCAGACCAGATAAGACAGCAGTATTCAATGCATGGACAAATATAAATGTGCAAGATGGATTATGACAAAAGTTGTCTGGCACAACACAGTAAATCAAATTTTCTTAAAAGTAAACCTAGCAACTGATTCAATATAATTAATCCACTTGATGTCAGTGGAAAACATGAGCCCAAAAAGGTGTAAAGAGTTGCTCTCTTGGAGGTTAACATCAGCCATGCTGAAGGCAGGTAGAAAAGATTCTTTATATTGATTAAATGAAATCAGTTTTGTTTTGGTGTTAAAATTTACAAACCATTTCTTGTCTCAGTTAACCACTGATTGGAGGTCCTTTTCAAGAGCAGCTGCCAGTTTTACTTTGTTGAACCTCTAAGAGTAAATCGTCATGTCATCAGCATAAACTGATGACATTGGGAAGGTTGTTGATAAAGATCAAAAGCAACATAGGTCCAAGGATAGAAATCTGGAGAACCCTGAATTAATGTGAAATGAACTAGAACCATGTCCATTCAACACAACCTTCATTACATGATTTGCTAGGAATGGTTGGATTAAGCTAAATATCTGTCTAAAGTCACCATAACACTTGAGCTTGTGGAGAAGTCCAGCGTACTGAACCCTGTCAAATACCTTCAAGATCATATAGAGCTTGTAAAAGCAATAGGGTCATGCAGTCTGAAAATTCCATGTGGTATGAAACTGACAGGAATCAACACTGTATACTGACCATCTATCACTATTGTTTACTCTCAGGTATAGAGCACTTTTCCCTCATAAATATAGAAAATTTAAAACTAATATATGTAACTAAGAAAAATTGTTAAAAAAAAGTCTGGTGAAAAATATAAAGATAAAATGATGGTTCATTTCAACTGATTTTAAAAATTATAGAAATGAAAAGTGGAGAAGATGATTAAAACTTTTCTATCGTATTTTTAATGTTAAAATTTCTAAAAGATAAAATACTAACAATTTTAACCGATTTTGGATCATTGAACTTTCTTAAAAATAGTCTAATTAAAATTTAAGAGAAAGGTAACCTTTAACTTTTAAATCAAAAACAAAAAAAAAATTATGGGCACATCTAAGAACAAAATATAGTACCAGTCAGAAATCATAGAATCAGAGTGTAGTATGTATACTTTTGCATTTTATAAAAATGTTCATAATTATGAATTTTAATCTTTTCTGAAAGTGTTGAAAGCAAAAAAAGGATGCAAAAATATTGACTACAGAAAAATTGAAAAAATTTTAAATTACAAAGTCTTCAATTTTAATTTTTACTTTTCTATATAATAAAAAATTCCATATTTTTAGCGTGAATGCATCAGTGTTCATGTTGGCCAGGCTGGTGTGCAGATGGGTAATGCCTGTTGGGAATTGTACTGCTTGGAACACGGAATCCAGCCAGATGGACAGATGCCATCAGATAAGAGCATTGGTGGAGGAGATGATTCATTTAATACCTTCTTCAGTGAGACTGGAGCTGGCAAACATGTCCCAAGGGCAGTCTTTGTGGATTTAGAACCAACTGTGATTGGTAAGTTAACCATTGGAAGTGACTTAGAAATCAAGTAATACCAAAGTGATAAAACAATTTTTCAATCCAATTAAAAATACCACCATTCAATTTCCTTATAAATATTTATATATAACAGTTTAATTAATTGCAATAAGTGTAACAGTGATACTTTTGAGATATTCTCAATCATTGTAATAAGTTTCAGTTACATTCCTAAGAATGGGAAGGAATAGCTTTTATATATATATATATATATATATATATATATATATATATATATATATATATATATATTATATGTAAAAAGGTGTTTTTGTGTGAGTGTTTACACAGACACAAAGCTTAAGTTAATTTTTCAAAAGAATTTATAGGCTAGAAATTCTTATTTACAAATAAATTATAGAATAAGTAGTAATTATCTTTTATTCCATTAAAAATCAGGGACAGATCAGAAAAATTTGTATTTATGTAGTTTAACATAAAAATTCAAATTCTAAAATGAAATTTTCTTGTTCTTGTCTTTAGATGAAATCCGCTGTGGAACTTATCGGCAGTTATTCCACCCAGAACAATTAATCACTGGAAAAGAAGATGCCGCCAACAACTATGCACGCGGCCACTACACAATTGGCAAGGAAATCGTGGACTTGGTCCTGGATCGAATTCGAAAGTTGGCTGATCAGTGCAGTGGCTTGCAAGGGTTCCTTATTTTTCACAGTTTTGGAGGTGGTACAGGTAGTGGATTTACCTCGCTTTTGATGGAACGCCTTAGTGTAGATTATGGCAAGAAATCAAAATTGGAATTCTCTATCTACCCAGCTCCCCAAATATCCACAGCTGTAGTGGAGCCTTATAACTCCATTTTGACAACACACACAACATTGGAACACAGCGACTGTGCATTCATGGTAGACAATGAAGCTATATATGACATCTGTCGACGTAATCTAGATATAGAACGACCCTCTTATACTAATCTCAATAGGTTGGTAGCCCAAGTTGTCAGCTCCATTACAGCTTCATTGCGTTTTGATGGGGCTCTTAATGTGGATCTTACAGAATTTCAAACTAATCTGGTCCCTTATCCTCGAATTCATTTCCCTTTAGTTACTTATGCTCCAATTGTATCAGCTGAGAAAGCCTACCATGAGCAGCTAACTGTAGCTGAAATTACCACTGCTTGTTTTGAGCCTGCCAACCAAATGGTCAAATGTGACCCTAGACATGGCAAATACATGGCTTGTTGTATGCTTTATCGAGGAGATGCTGTTCCAAAAGACGTGAATGCAGCTATTGCAACTATCAAAACTAAGAGAACAATACGCTTTGTTGACTGGTGCCCAACAGGATTTAAGGTTGGCATTAATTACCAGGCTCCTACTGTTGTTCCTGGTGGGGATCTGGCCAAGGTCTATCGTGCTGTATGCATGTTAAGTAATACGACAGCTATTGCAGAGGCTTGGGCACGGCTTGATCACAAGTTTGATCTTATGTATGCTAAACGAGCTTTTGTCCATTGGTATGTCGGTGAAGGGATGGAAGAGGGAGAATTTTCTGAAGCCAGGGAAGATCTTGCTGCCTTGGAGAAAGATTATGAAGAGGTGGGAGTAGACTCTGGTGATATGGGTGAAGAGGGAGAAGAGGAGATGGAAGAATTCTGAGGAGTTTAAAAATTAAGATAGTTTGTGTTTTGTTTTTGTTTGAATTATTTGGGTTTAAAATAAGTTTCATAAAAGAAGATTGTCGAGTTTCTAACTCGGTTCATTTTTTAACATTGTAAGAAATAAATGTGTTCACTTAATACTTGTTCCTGGTCAGTTATTTAAATGAGTCAAACAATACACGCCAACAAAGTTTCATGCTTGTGGAATTTTTATTTGCAAAATACAATTACCACTGAACAGAAATTTGCTCATCTGTTGCTTGATTCAGACAATATTAACAATATAGTAAGTATTAAAAAAAAAAAAAAAAAATTTATATTCATTAAAAAGAATAATTAAAATTACAAAACAAACATCAATGTTAAAAAAAAAATAAATATACATTTTTTTTTTACTGCAGCCCCAGAAAAAAAAAAAAGAAAAATTCAAAAATTATATATACACCCTTCTCCCATCAATTTATTGTTATCATTGAAATTTGGATGTTAGACTTTTTTTTCGTTTTGTTTGGTTTTGAGGAGTTCCAAATATCCTTGGTGAGCTTTTGGTTGGGCTAGCCAGAAACATGCTTGCAAATCTTGGGGGAATGCTCGACATTGGCTCTGGAGAATTCTGAAATAAGAAAACATTCTTAAAATTATTTTCAAGTAAAAACTGATTTTATTTAATACTTTTTTTGTCAAAAAACTATGGATTTACAAATAATGACTAAGAGATTTTTTTTTTGTTTTTTTTTTTTAAAGATAAATATTGGTTTTGCATAGAATTATGCAGAATCATCTAAAATGTCAGGGACTAAGTCACGGTAATTTGATAAAAATTTTATAAACTCAACTGAAATAGATCACATTTTTCTTAATTCCGTGGAATGTTATTGGTTCATAAGCATAAATTTTTCAAGTTACTGTTTTGTAAGATTAATGGTAAATATTGCAAATAAAAATTTTGAAAATCTTAGTATTGATTTATATTTAGAATGATCATTTAAAAAGGAATTGATGCCAAACTACAGGGCATATTAATCAGTAAAATGAACTTAATCATTAGTATATGGAACAAAACTGACATTACAAAGAATTATTACAACTTGTAAATCTGGACTCGGCAAGGAATGACCATACCAGCACAAAAAAAGTTTTGTTTTCAAATATACATGTAATAGGAATTTATTGATACAAATATTGAAAACAGAACAAATAATATACTTTGAATGGTACAACACTTGAAATGAATAAATTTGAAATCATAATATTGTTTAATAGTATCCTTTTTACACACAATTTTGATTAGTTTGAAAATTATCTGAGCTCAAATAGGAGTGGTAAGGAAAAGAAATTAGTTAAGTCTAAAAAGAAAAAATATTCAAATTATGGATGACACCAAATTTAAAACTGGTTCTAGTTCAGGGTTTTTTGTTTTAAACCAAACATATAATCCAAAAATTCAGGGAATTTGAACAATGCATACAAGCTTTTTGAGCCCTGAATAAGAACTGTTGGCATCACTGTATATGCCTAAGGAGATAGAGTAAGTAATTTTTTTTATATATAATTGGTTTCCCTAAACCCTTGGGTGGCACCTTATATGTTTAAGCTGAAATAAAATTTGACCAAAATTCAGTGTAACTTGGAAACAAATTTACCTCATCTGTTTTTTCTTTGTTCTTGGAGTTATCACTTCTCTCACTGTCAAGCCTCTCTCGAGATTTAGAATTCGATGAAAGACACTGAATAGAACGAATTCTTTGAGCAAACTGTAGGGTCTGTAGTGTCTCAGAGACATGAGAATCACCTGGGGCTACTTGAGTTATGAGCAAGGTCTTGCTATTGCCTCCTGAAATATTAAAGTAATTTTCTCAGTAGCACACATTAAACTTTTTAAAAGTTGTTGAAAACATCAAAATTATTATAAGGATCTCCCAAGTCAGGAGCTTGAAAAAGATTAGAATTAATACTCCTTAAAAGCACACAATATCTTAGCCATTCTTGACATTCAAATCCTTTCTCTATGATCAAATAACACTGAAAACCCCAGTTCAATCACCAAAGTTAAACAGCTTCAATTCTGATCAGTACTTAGAGAAACACTACTGTAAGCAACTTCCAACAACCCAAAATAGGTTTCAGTTTTAATAACCATGAAGAGTTGAAAAGAAATCGATCTATGATCAAACATCACATTTCCTGAAAAAACTTGTATAATACTTAATATGCTAAAATATAAGAGACAAGTTCTTGTTTTACTATTTACATTTAGACTATGTTTTGGCCATTGCTTGCTAGCCTTTATGTGCTTTGCAGAAGATCAAATTGTACCCTTTATTTCAATTACAGGTGCAAATGGTTCTCATTCTACTGAAATTGCCCAGGAATATCATAGTTCTTATTTAGTATTGCTCATTTGTTGCTCCTTTGATACAATACCCTAGTGGATTAAAGCATTGGTTTGTGAATTTGGTGAGAAATGACTACATTATGACTTCAATCCCTAGGCTGGGGAGTGTGTATTTGGACTTTGTGGACAGCACAAAAGCCAAAACTTTGCGATTAGAACGATGAAGACAATAGTTCACATATAAATAATGATAACCCCTCATCTTAGAAATTTTGTTTGAAAATTTAGAATTATCTACCAAAAATGTAAATTCAATGTCATTCAGATCTTGAAAACTTCTTTTCTCCTTTGTAAGGTTCAATTTTCATCACTATTGTTTTTCACTCTCATTAACACCTTGCTTTTTAGCTGGGAGTGAAAAAAAAATTAACAGTAATTGACAATAAGAATCTTTGAGACTTGCTCCACACACTAAATTAAATTTGGAATTCTTCACAGGATTGTAAATTGGGTAAATTTTAAAACTGCAGGACAATTGAAATTATTAAATTACAATAAATACAAAAGTAGATTTTATATTCAAATAGTTTCTTAATCAAGTAATACACATGACTACATTTGACAAGTTGAGAATTATTTGGCTTTTTAGTCATCTTTAGTTTCCTGTAAAGAAAAAAGTATCCACAACCTTTATGCACTAAACAAGATGTTCTAAGCCAAACAACATATATAGTTTTTTATGAACAAGCAAATTTTTATACTTTAACTGTCCTTGTACCAGACTATGCTTCCAATGTACAAGTTACTTACCCAAAGAGTCTTGCAGTAGATGAGTTAGTTTGGAATTTCGGTATGGAATGTGTGTCTTCTTCAGCAAGATAGCATTAATAACATCACTGAATGTGCTGAGAGATTTATTAATAAAACCTGCTTCTTTTAACCGCTGACCATTGACACCTGATTTCTCAACATTTTCAGAGCCTGCTAAATCAATCAAGTATAGTTTACCTACAACAAGCAAAGGACATAAAAATCAATACCAGAAGCTGTTGCATAGGAATTACTATTTTTAATTTTTTTTTTAAATCAAATTTTTAGCATAACAGTAATTGTCACTGCATGCATACATATAAAATTATCAATCCTTTCTGCATTCTATTGAGAACTAGACTTGAATTAGTATATATGTGTGTGTGTGTGTGCATAATAACTTTGAGTATGTAATTTTGACAGTTATTTGGAAAAACGTTCATAAAAGTATCTTGAAAATAATATCTTGATAATATATAATGAACATTTTGCCTCTGGCTTCAGATGAATAATGTGTTGTGTGTTTAAAATAATTAATCTTATATTATTTTTCCAAGTTGGCATTACTCAAGACTAAAAACTTTTTTTGAAATGTAATGTGTGTGGACAGTGAGGTCAACACTGAGTGATAAGTCTTTCATACTTGAATGCAATCTTCAGACCATTGTGTTTTGTTTCAATTATTTACTTATCTTGCTCAATGGTGCATTATGGGTAGCAAGGTCTATTATCATAACCATTATTATTATAGAGACAGTAGAAAGTCTGGGTTGAAATGCAGTTTTTTTTGTAGCTATTTCATAGTGTTTTTTGTTTGCTTTTTACTCTTTATTATCATCATCATCATGTGCAAATATTTATATTTGTTTCATTGAATATGATGAACAAGGAAAATTTGTTGAATTTTTTTTTAGTTTTTCAAATTATTACATTATACCGTTTGGTGGGAGTAATGCAATGCAAAAATTGCCCGTACTGTCCATTGCTCCAAGCACTTTTGGCCACTTCTTTACTCTCTTACCCCCATCAAACAGAAAAAAAGATTTAAATTTCCTTTGTCCGTCATATTCAACAAAACATGTTAAGAAAGTTTGCTGTCATCATATATATATATATATATATATATATATATATATATATATATATAAAAAACACATTTGTACATTATCAAGACTTCATGAAACTTAAATATTGATTCCCCCCACCCAATATTCTAAGCAAAATATCAAACTACCTTTGTCTAACCCATAGTTGACCCCACCTAAGTGTATACCAGTGACAAATAAGCAATAAAAAAAACCTTTGGTTTGTGTATTCGTTGTTTGGTTGCCACCTTCTACTCTGACACAAAGCAGAGCATGTGAACGAGATGAAGACGTATTGAGGTTTGTGGTAGCTTTTGCACGGTTTTTATGGCCGCTTGCACAGACCTGAAAAAAATATTAGAATTAATATATTCCTAAAACTTTTTCATACAAATATTAAAAGCAAATAATTACTGTTTTCAAAATTAAATATTTATAGTGTGTGGCAGGAAATACTTCCCACATAATGGTAAGACATTAATGGCAAGGGTGTCTTCATCTAGATAATGTTTTACCATTATGTGGGAGGTATTTCTGCAACACCATATATATATAAGAAAATATATCTTACCATTTAATTTTTCGTAATAAAAAAGAAATTAATGAAGGGGATCCTGTGGCACTGTTGGAAACTAGATGTTTCTGCTAGCAGCCATATAAGTAGAATCCCTATTAGGGCTATAGAATAGTGTGCAAGAGAAACTTGGTATCTTATTTATTAGGTAGTTTTGAGGTCAGACATTGCTCATATGAGTAGTCATCTTAGAAATAGGTCAGTGTCAATCTACTATGTTTTCCTCTGCCTAAAGGGCAGAAATGTCATTAGCAAATGAACTCTTAACTACTTCACACATGTCTGGTTTCTCTATTGAACATGTGTCTGAATCAGTCTCTTATTCTTTTCTAGCTCAGAGCTGTGAGCTTATATCCTTTTGACCAGGTTCTGAGACTGGCACAAATTTGTTATCAAAAGTGTCTGAACTTTTTGATTGGCCAAATTATATTATTTTCAAAAGTTATGCATCGAGCCTGTCTTATTTTGGTAGACACATGTTCAATAGAGAAATCAGTAGACTGATCCTGCAAATTTCTGGCATTTTTCAGGTGAGTTTAGTCTTTTCTTCCTCTTTGAGGTTTGCCTTCTCGTTATTTGAGAAAGAAGTATAGAAAGAAGTTTAGAGAGAGAAAGACAATGTTGTAAAGTGCAAATGCCTTATTTTAATTGGAATTATTTCTTTTTTGTTTATATATTTTAATTGGGACTTACTACAGATCTAAACACAGAGAGGAGCAGTCTGTCCAGTTATGATGGTAGCAGTTGAAGGGACCTATGTGCCACCTACTACAATAGGAAATCTAATTTGAAATAAGCACCAAATCGAGAACCATATTTAGGTTTTCATTTCTTGCTGCTAATTCCATCTTCCGTTTCTCGTGAACAGATAAGAGTCATTTCCAGTGTTTGTATACACCAACATGAAAACGAGAGGTGAAACACAATGTGGGGTTAGGGCCCATTGTACATTCAGACATGGAAACTTAGAGTTTTACACTCGATGTTGCTAATCCAAGCAAATGAATTCAGACAAAATCAAAAGATTCAGACAAAATTTTCACCTTGTTAACTTCTTCAACTGAATAGACAGGAATGATGGTCATGTCTTCCACATTCCACACTTCAAGTTTATTTGTTGCATCATCATTAAGGAGATCCCTGCAATTAAAGAAAATATTAATTCCCGCTCACATTTGGCCTTGGGCCACACTAAGAAACTATAAATGGCAAACATGGACTTATATGCCGGCAATAAGATGGTGTCAAAAGGACATTCCCCTCTTGACACCGCATTTTTTTTTTTTAAACTACCTTTGGTAATGTTTGTTTTAAAAAGCAAGGATTAAACTTAAACATCTGAAAGTGAATTTGTACATTTTGTTTTTGAGAATTTACAAAAACTAAGTGCTATTTGATTGTTTAAGAATAATTTTATACTTACAATATTCTAAAAACTAATACAATTTAGAACTAATGCATTATTTATTATTTACCAATTTATAAAGAAATACAATTTTTTATTCATAAATTTATAAACATTTACTTAATTAAAATGTGAACCACTTCTAAGTAAACTCATATTTACCATTTTATAAAGTTAAATTGGCAATTCACCAATGTTTGCCAAACATTCCAATAAATAATATAATAGCATAAATAAACAATTTAATAATGTTTATTATTTTTGTTGTAAATTTTCAAGAACAAAGAAAATGTGTAAATTCACTTTCACCATATGTTTAGGTTTTATTACAATTCTAATCAATGTTTCTTTAAAACAAACATTGAAGAGTTAAGGTAGCTAAAAAAGCAGTGTCATGAGAAAAAAAAATCATCCTTTTGATATTCCATTTTATTTCAGGCACATAAGTCCATGTTTACCTAATAAATATCAATACCACTTTAGAAGATAAAAAATTAGAATTCTTTGGCTTATTTATGGAACTTCACTTTGTCACGTGTTTCTCTATTCATTGAATAAGAGAAATGCACAAGAAAGTAACCGAGAGACAAATATACATTTTCCACTTTAGTTGAGCCCTCAGTAAAACCAAGAAGTTGCAATAAGATGAAGTAAATACTAATAAAAATTGCAAATTTAAGTCTTGCCAAAAGACTTATTAACAACAGCCATTGTTTAGCGATGCATACAATAGTAAAAAAAAATTAAAAAAAAATAAGAGTTTAATTATCTTGTTTTGCATTATCAGGAAAAACAAGACAAAACAAAATATCTTAATTTGCTCTTATGGATTTTACAGCCAAAGAAAAATGTATTACTTTAAATGTGCTAACACGAGCAGCAAAGAGTTCAGTTGTCCAACTCTTGCAATGATAATGACCTCAAAGTTAGAGAAGGTCATTGATCCCCTGACTATTTTTGGGTCATTATACATTTGGTGATCTGTAATTTACTTAAATAGGCATCAAGTAATCAGAACCTACCATGCATTTTTCTCTTCATTCTTTTAATTCAAATTAAAACCTTAAAACAGGTTATCGGATAGCTTAATGAAAAAAAAAAAATTGTGATTGTAATTAAGTGAACACAAGTATAGCTTAATGCTTGGATTTGTATTTAAAAAAAAAAAAAAAAAAAAATTACCTGATTTGTTCATTGTAGATTTCTAACATACTGACAGAAATAGAATAATTCCAGTCATCTTTTAGAGCAGTTTCTTTGAAAACATCCTTCAGAGCTCTTTGGTTCATTCCAGGATTATTTGAGGTTCCCTGGAAATTAAAAATAACTTTTTCCTTTTCTTAATCAAATATTTGAAACTTCTAATTAGTATAGTCAAACATCAGATCTTACAGGTGGTTATTTTAATGCATTTAATGTAGGAACTAGAGACAATATAAAAAAGACTATATATATATATATATATATATATATATATTGCATATGAGAAGCCACGTATACTTTCTTAATATGTATATATAGAAAAGTTTCAAATTGAAAATTATAATGTTTTATTTTATGAAAGTATTTATTTATTTACACATATATATATATATATATATATATATATATATATCAAATTGTTTTTTTTCATCAGAAATAACTGTTTGTTACAAATAAATTAAAATTACTGTTTATTAGCAAGTAGTGTCCTTTATAGACGCGGACGTCACGTGATATGGAACGTCACTGTTCGGATATTCCTAACTTAAATCTAACTGTCATAAATATTTAAAACAATTTTTTATACTATATCTAAAAAAAAAAAAAAAAAAAAAAAAGAAATTGCTTAACTATTGAAATATTTATAAAGATTTAAAACACCTAAGTCCCTATTCAACCCTAGTTTATGTGTATTTAATTTTAAAATCCAATATGTTTTTTTTTTTTCTGCGATTTTAAAATTAAATACACAAACTAAATATATAAATAAATAAATACTTTCATAAAATAAAACAATTTTCAATTTGAAACTTTTTATATATATATATATATATATATATATATATATATATAAATATAAATATAAATAGGAAAACTGGTAATTGCTGACATGTTTCATCCAATGTGGACTTTATCAAAGCAAAAAATTACCAGTTTTCCTATTGTCATTTTTATTCATAAATATTGTCTTCTCTACCGATTAAATCGGAGAAATATATATATATATATATATATATAAAGACAAGATTTACTCTAAATTCTGTTTATTCTTAAATAACGAATTTATTCTATTAATTCAATTAATTATTTAATAGGTCTTAAGAGGAAGAAAGGAAACCCCTGCTTCTAGTTTATTCATTTCTTTATCTTTTATACTTGGATTTACCTTGAAAATATCCAAATTTCTTTGATAAAATTTTGTTATTAATTTTGATAACTTCCCCCTCCATCTATCTTTTTTCCTTTTCATTGCAACAGGTAGATTCTATCACTAAAAATGCTTGGATTAAACAAGGAAGAAGGTAGTTGAATCCTTTTGATCTTCAAAGGTACTAAAAAAAAAAAAAAAAAAAAAAAAAGTCACAAACTCACTAAATAAAAAAACATCACTTGAAGACTTCTAACAGCAAGAACTAAAATTGATAACATAACTAGCAGGGAAAATAATTATATAATCAAGATTTCCACATTACCTTAAACAAGAAATTTGGAAGGAAGCTTCCATCAATATTAGAAAGAGCAATAAAATTGAAAAATAATTTGCTGAAAAATGTTTCAAAATATTTTAGAAATTCGAGAACAATAGGAATGCTAACTGTTCAGTCAAAGAATAGTGAATAATTCCTGTATGGAAAACAGCTAATTTTACCATTACCATTATGACAATAGTAAAATTAGCTGTTTCCATACAGGAAATATGGAGTGCAATGCATTCATGGGCACACAAGGTGTGTGGGGGTGAGTAATGGTTGTTAACATGAAAAATAAAACTTGCAAACAGAGTTTGAAGGAATGCCACCTTTTCCAAAGGTATTCCTTCAAACTGCAAGTTTTGTTTTGTTTTTTGGCATGTTGGCATGAGTCTACTTTTCCTTGAACTCCTGAAAAACAACCAATTCAAATTTTGGTTGAGATTGTTCATGTTCACTTCGACCTATTGCCAATGAACTCAAGAAATCTGAATTCCTGAAAAACTTAAGGTTTTATAAATTTCAACAAACAATAACACTTATATGACAAAACTTGAATTTCACTGATGATGACCAAATCAGAAAGAATAGTCCTAGAAAATTTTGTGAGCCTAAAAATAAAAACTTTAAATTAAAATTTTGCAAAATTGGTTATGCAGAAAGAGAGTTCAACATATTTTTGTAAAATGTGTAAAAAGTTTCAATTCATTATGAATCAAAGTAAAAAAATAAGTAATTGTTTTAAATGTATCTTTGCATAAAATTAATTTTCTTCTAGTTCCTTTTGTACTAATGCAGGTGCTTCCACCCCAGAGCTCTATCCTTTGGTCCTACAACCATTTACCCCTGTCTTGATAGTAAGCTTTATCTGTTCAATGAAGTTAAATTGGCAGCTGATATATAAAAAAAAAAAAAAAAAATGACCTTTTGTCTGTTAACTGGAGTAAAGAATGGCTTGTTAATTTTAACACCTCCAAACCTAAACTGTTATCTATTAATCATCTAAAAGACTATATTGAATCCATTGATAAGTCAGCTGCTAAGAAATTTGGTTCATTGTATTGTGATAAACAATTTTTCTCTCCAGAATCTATCTTACATATCTAAAAGTCTACCATTTATCCATGCTTAGAATATTGCTGCCACATATGGTCCAGTGCTCCTACTATATATTTAAAGATCCTTGATAAAATCCAAAGAAAAATCATCAATATTATTTGTCCAGACCTGGCATCTCTGCTTCAGTCACTTTCTCACCGCCATAAAGCTGCCTCTATGCTTTTTTTGCATTTTCTATAAATGAATTCATGGTTATTTTTTGGATGAGCTCTTTGCTATGGTACTTTGACTTTTTGAATTTAAGTGCAGTAATAGACTGGCAATAAGGTCTCATCAATTCACAGTTGAATTGTTTAGATGTAACCCTAAGTTTTATGCTAACAGTTTAACAGTTTTTCTCACACTTTTCACTTGTGGAACATCTTCCAGCTCCATGCTTTCCAGTTAACTTTAATTTTCAAAAATTTAAATGTAATGTCAATCGCTATCTCCTGTTTTCCTGATTACTAAGGAGCAAGAACAGAAGAGTAATGTTCCTGTTTTCTAATTCCTTTACACCAAGTAACCCCTTGTGTCTTGGTGGCTTTACTACCTTCTTTGGGGGGGTGAACTTTATTATAAAATAAAAATATTAAAAAAGAAAAAAAATTGATCTTTTAATATACACTTTCAAAATTGGATAAGTAAAATTTATTACTCACCTCCATTGTGTAGGTTTTACCAGAGCCAGTCTGACCATAGGCCAAAATACAAACATTGAAGCCATCAATACACGATGTAACAAGGGACCTTATTTCATCAAAAACCTGAACCAATAGAATTCAAGAAAAATTTCAAATAGCATACTATGGTGATAACAAATGGTATTGATTGGGAACTTAGTTTCATTGTACAGTGACTGTTATATAATGATCATACAGAATCTTATAATCTAAGTTTTCTAACTTCTTTCAACAACCTAATACCAAAAAGGCAAATTAGTCACATTAGATCCTCTAAGGTACTAACATCTTCATAAAAAAAAAAAAATCTGCTTTACATGTATCAATTGGCAGGACTGCAGTCATCTGAATCATCTAGTGTAATTACTTTATCAAGACTCAATCAAGCAGCCTGATCTCCCTTACTTATTGTTTTTTTATTTCTTATTTCATGTTAGCTTTCTTTGAATTTTCTAAAAATTGAAATGATTTAAAAAATAAAGTTCTTTTATACATGTAGCAATAGTTAATTGTAAATAAAAAATGGCCAAGATTAATCTGCAGAGAATAGAAGCAATGCAACTGCAAGTGTAAAATATTTACACTTGCATTGCTTCTATTGTGTAATTTTTCTTTGTTGATTGTTTTTCTTTATAATGCAAAAAAAAAAAAAAAAAAAATTATGTATGAAGGAAAAGAGCTCAGAATCTAGCATTTACAGAGTGTGGACATTATATATATATATATATATATATAGCGTGTGCAAGTTGCACATAAACCTCTATAGGTTATTTACAGATTGTGAGAGATGAAATTTAAATTTTTATTATTCCAAAATTTTATCAGTTATTAATGTCAACAACTGAGTACAAATAGTTATTAATTTAAAAAAAAAAAATTAATATATAATATTATCCATACCATAAAGTCATTTTAAAAAAATAACCATAAATACATAAAAAATGTGTACATTGTTGAAAATTGCTTTTTTCACAATATTGCTATTTGTGCTATGTTATAAAGCTTATTACCTAAACAATTTTTTTTTTTTTTTTAAACATTAAAGTATAATCACATCTCTCTAATGCCGAAACCTAAATATTTTGTAGGTGTTGTTTTGGTATAAACCTATTTATTTAAGGCAGGACATTATGTTGACAGACACACACACATATATATATATATATATATATATATATATATATATATAAGGGATGAGGTTATAGTTGTTCCAAGAGAAAAGTGTATATTTTAAAAATAGAGAAACCGCAAACGTTTTGATTGTAAAGTTGCAGTTTCTCTCTTTTTTTAAGATTATATATAGTGTGAATCAGAATGTGAGAGCTGAACAAATTTTTGACCTTATCCACTTCCCAAAACCAAACTAAACATAAGGATTTTTTTTAATCCTATCTCTCACACACAGTTAAGCAAGTAGTGAGTAACCTTCTCACAAATACTTACCTCAGATTGACTACAATTTTTAGGGAATACTCTGTCCATTTCAAAACGTGTCAACTTATTTTTGTTTTTGACAAAAATTATATCCCTGTCATTGGAACTGACTGATATGCAGCAACTGTTAGGGTCCTCATCTGCTGCAGTTGGGGGCCGAATACGACAGAACACCCTGATGTTACCTAATCAGACAAAAAATAAGAAAATACATAAGTTAAGCTTTGACTTTTAAGCCAGTCATTAACTGCAGCAGGGATTTCCAGTTGAGCCATAGAATTACAATGATAGAAAATTTTCTAATGAAATAAACGGAATTGAAATAAAAGGTAAAAGGAAACATGGTTTCTCATCTCAGTTTCTTGCTCCCCCTGGCTGTCTTTAGAAACACAGTTAAGAACGCCTTTCTCCTGAATCACGGCGTCAATCACATTTGTTCTTTTATTCTCTCACAAAGTACTCAATCTGGGTGTTTGAATTAAATTTGCATATGCAAATTGCATCACTCTGGCAGTCTATTTTGCATTCATTCTACTCAGATAAATCATCCTCAATTCTTTTCATGCTGAGTAAACAACACCTTCTCTTGGCAACTATTACAGAAATCTAGAAAAATTTAATACAATAAAAGCATCTTATGGAGAACTAAGAAATTGTAACAGCAGAACAGACGATCAGAAAAGAAATAAAAACTTTCAGAAGCCTAGGATTCACAATCTATATAAAATCCAACCAAAAATTAATAAATTTCCTAAATATAGCCTTCAACTTAAACATCTGTCTATATATCTCTAGGATGAGGTATTATGATTACTTGCATTATTTACACTGGGCTTGAGGACACATGGCCCAGTGGATAAAGATGTTGATTAGATCCAGTGACTAGACTCAAAGAGTTGTGAGTTCAATACCAGGCCACAGCAGTGGTGAACCAAAACTTGGAGAGTTGAGTTAAAAGGGAAATAACAGAGACATCCATAGAACATGGAACTAGAACAATAATAAAGGATTCAGTTCAAAATTCTAATCACCTGAAGAAAGACAAAACATTGTGAATATGGCAATGAAGATGAGGATAGCAGTTTGAGTATTGTAAATAATGCAAACAAATCATGCAGAAAACCAAATAACAACCCAATGTATATTAAACATTCCAACCATCACCCACCATATTAAAAAAAAAAAAATACCTATATCTATAAATAAAAGACTTAAATTCAATGAAAATAAAAAAAGCAATCAGTCCCAAGAAATTTCAAATTTTCAAAGTAGAATATAAAAAGGAAAATAATACAAACAGAAAATAATATAATTTAGTTCAATCCATTCAATAATATTACAATAAAAATACAATCAAAATCAGTTACAGCTACATGGAAAAAAATAATCATGCACAAAAAAACTTAAAAACAAAAAAAACTTAAAATCAATAACAATCAGCAGAATACTATCAAATGTAACTGTAGAAACAAAGAAAATTGCCCAAATGCTTAACCAGTAATATAGTATACAGTGTGTGATGAATAAATTATCATCTAAATTATACAAAAATGAAAATAACACTGACATCTCGTTTTAACAGATATATTTACCAAAATTACTCAAAAATATCACGAAATACTAAAGAGTAGATTTATTCAATAAAAATAGTCATTGATTTCAACCACAGCCTCCAGATGACTTCAGAATCTCCTGCATTTCTTCTGGACAGTTTCATAGGATCTTCCAGCAGTCACCCTCTTGACCCAGGGCAGCAGTACCTACTCAAGATATTTGATGTAGGTCTCCATGTTAAGTCTGTAGCCCTCACCAAGAAAATTTGAGATTTTAAAACTTTTAAATTGCTTTAATTCTCAATTATTCAAGTGGAATATTCTATAATGTTCCAAAAATATTATCAGTACTTATTTTTAGCCCCCAAAATACAAATAGAACATTCTGTAATTGATATTCACGCAAAAAGGTCATCATAGCAAGAGGTAAAGAATTAAAAAATTTCAAAAAAGAACCGATTGTTAAGCTCTGGAAAGAAGGTAAAAGTTACAGGAAAATCTCAGACAATGTGAATATTCCATTTACTACCATTAGTTCATTGATTGCAAGATATAAAAAAACTCAAAAATGTTGAAAACTAAAAAGATCTTCAAGGAAATTAATGTGGTTACTCATCAAGAGTTGCAGGATGATTTGCTTTCATCATGAATTTGTGTCACTAATCAGACAATAAGCAATGAAATTCATAGGAACAATCTAAAAATCATGCTCCCCTCAGAGAACTCCAATGCTATGGAAAAGACACAGATGCCAGGTTGAAATTTGTTCATAATCATAAGGAAAAGGAAAAATCATATTGGGAAAGACTATTATGGACAGATGAAACCAAAAATTAATTGTTGATATCATGTATGGACAAAAGATGGCTATACTTTTAAACAAAAGAACACTGTTCCAATAGTGAAATTTGGTGGTGGCAGCATCATGTTTTGGGAATGTTTTTCTGTGAAAGGTACTGGGAACACATCAGTAATAGATGGTAGAATGAATACTGCAACATATCGAAATATTTTAAGAGGGCAAATTTAATGATTTTGGTTGAAAATCTTGAATTTCTTCCTGATTGGATCTTCCAACAAGATAATGATCTTAAGCACACTGCAAAATCTACGAAAAAATGGTTTGCTGAAAATAATGTAAATATCCTGAAATGGCCAAGTCAGTCCCCAGATTTAAACCCAATCAAGAATATGTGACATCATTTGAAGATTCAAATCCAATCAAAAACTCCAAACATCCCAGATCTGAAGACGTTATGCAAAGAAGAATGGAACAAAATACCAACTAAAATTTGCAAATCATTGAGAAGAGGCTGGTTGCTGCAGAAATGAATAATGGCTATTCTACAAAGTATTAAATGAAGATTATGTATTCTTTTTTTATTATATGAATACTTTTGCTCATTAAAATGGATAAATGGGATTTATTTCTATTAAATCAACTTTTATTTTCTATGCATATTTAGTTATGCATCTATGTACAGTTAATTATATGAAAATTTTTATTAATTAGTTGGAAATACAATAAATTAAAATTTTCCTTCTCACTGTGTGTGTGTGTGTGTATATATATATATATATATATATATATATATATGAGAGGAAGTCAGCTTGTGACTGAGAACGATCACTTCATAGAATCCACTCCAATTGAGAACACGCTCATGCTTGCATATCTTGTCACTGATGATGTCTGCAGTTGATTAATAGCAATTTTAATGGGAATATATCTGACATGCATAATAAAATTACACACAATGTATGAAATAATGAAAATGTGTCATCTTAAAATAAAACATCTTAATCTGATAACAAAATTTTCATGTGTTAATTATGGATGATTAAAAAAGAAAAAAAATCTACTTACCTCTGAGTTGCATTAATTCATTGTGGTATTTTTTTCTAAGAGACATTTCTTGTTTGTATCGACGAGCTAACTCCTTGTTGGACTTCCTTAGGTTATTCACTGCTTGCCAAGTCTTTGCAAAGTTTTTAAAAAATAAAAAATTAAATTAAAAATTTATATAAGCTAAGTTTTTCTGTTATTCCATTTAAAACAAAAAACTTTAACATCTATAAGATACAAGGCATTAAGATACAAGGCATTAAGATACAAGGCATTAAGATACAAGGCATTAAGATACAAGGCATTAAGATACAAGGCATTAAGATATACAATTAAGATACAAGGCATTAAGATACAAGGCATTAAGATTAAGATACAAGGCATTAAGATACAAGGCATTAAGATACAAGGCATTAAGATACAAGGCATTAAGATACAAGGCATTAAGATACAAGGCATTAAGATACAAGGCATTAAGATACAAGGCATTAAGATACAAGGCATTAAGATACAAGGCATTAAGATACAAGGCATTAAGATACAAGGCATTGTGGGAGTTTTTGTTTTATTTGTCCAAATCTGAATTTGTTTTGCTCAGGTTTCATAAAAAAAAAAAAAATTAAAAATAAAATAAAATTTACTAAATTTTTTTTATTCATAATGTTTAATGTGTTAAAATTATTTAACTTTTAACAAAAAAAATCTCAATATGTTAAAAATTACAAAACATTGATTTATTTAAGATGGAATGATCTATTAGGACATGTCTTTAATTTGTATTTAGATACATTGTATTTTCAATTTTTCTAGATAAATTGTTCACCTATATTGCATATGATTCATGATTGTACATAAGTTAGAATAAAATTTGTATTTTATATGAATACTATCTTATGAAAATTGAGAGACTAGAGTGGCAATAAAGCCACTAAGATACAAGGGGATACTGTGTATGAAAGAATAGGAAAAATACATTATTAAGGAGCAAGAACAATAAAAGAAGAGTCAAGAAGACAGTAGACAATGACCGACATTGATCTTGGGGGGAAAAAGAAGCTTTAGGCAAGTACCTTGTTGCCAATCCCGTACTGCACTTTAATTCATAAACTCTAGGTACCATGGAGCAAAGTTCATCAGAACAATTGTCATGAAAGTAGTTATAGACACAGGAAAGCTACAATTTCTGTTCTTTTATTGTTCTTGCTCCTTAATGTTTTTTTACTCATAATCTTTCCCACTCAATGACCTTGTTGCTTTCTTTGGGGTGAAATTGTTATACACGCATGCAAAAATAAAAAAAAAAAAAAAAGAAAAAAAAAGCCATTTTACTATTTTGTCTTGACTACATTTTTTGTAACAACTTAAAGACTAGAGACGTCTATTTCTTTTTTTTCTAAGCACCTATCTATAATAGTATACACAATTTTTTTTTTTTTACATAAAAACTAAAAGGAAAAATATTGACTATAAAATTACCTGTTCTTCCATGCCTTGATAGGTCTGTTGAAAATATTCATCATATTCAGAAGCAAATTCACGGAACTTCTTAAAATTGTGTACCATCTCTGAATACATACATGCAAGATACTTGACTTTGGTCAGCAAATGTTCATAAACAAATGGTGTCTGGACCCCAACAGTTTTTTGAA